CCACTTACTTTCGAATTTTTTTCTTTAGAAGAAAGAGGCGGCACGGGGCACGGGATAACTGAGGTAAGTTTCAAATCCTCTCGTTAACGAAAAAATTATCAAGGTAGTCTTTCATTTCACGGCGTTGATCCGTAATCCATGTTTTTCCAGCTGAGGGGCTCATGTGTGTGTTTTTTTAAGGAATAAGTCCTGTTCTTTATAAGCGTACAGTATTCATTCAATCGGGATCAAATTTTAAGCTGGCAAAATTCGTGCGAAGCTTACATTGATGAGAAATTAAATTAAAAAGCGTAAGGAAAATGTGCTCAAACAAAAATGGCGATCTGGGGCAATTTTTCTTTTTCTGGTTTGAGTCAAAAATATGGAACAGTTTTGATTTTCTAATGAATCAAAGATGCTGTCTGTTCACACACTTTTCCTCTTTGATTTCGAATCAGATGAGTCAATTGAAAACTTGATATTTTCATTGCTTGCACATCACCATTATTTGCTCTGCGATCCTCGAAAGGCTTTGAACATTTACAGTACAGTACTTGTTCAATTTCAAGAAGCTTATTTACGAGTACAACTCAGTTGAACCTCCCGAATTCAAATTTCCAGTCAATCCTTGACCACTGCCATCAATTCAAATACAATCAACTGAAAAGGTCTAGGGTCAACGTCAAACCTCCCTTAATTTGATGTTTCAGCCGCGTTTTGTTCTCGAATTGGGGCAATAATTTACAATTGCTTCAGAAAACAAAAGAAAAGCAAGTGTAATTATTTCTGTTAAGCTCTCCAAAAAAAATGCATCATATTTTACAAGTTTGGGATGCATGAATTATCAACAGTTCCAATAATTTCATAGGAAAATAATTTCTGTTAACCTTCATAAATGAAACCAGTTTCTCTAGCTGAAAAATTTTCTTAAGTCAAAATATTGGAATCCCTTCAAATTTGGATCAGAGAGGTTCAGCTCCACCAGATTGCTGTACAAGTATTGTCTATACTAACTATACAGTATGGTTTATTTCATAGCCTGCTGGAAGTTTTTCACATTTAATTATCGTACCCCTGTTTCCGTTGCTGTTGCAATTGTGTGAGGAATGTTTATAGTTTCCTGTTCATCGTGATTTAGTTATATATTGTAGATATATTACTGTGTTGTTCGGCTTTGTTATTCAATGCGTTAGAGGCTCAGAATTAGCCTTCGAAGTTCAGTATAGACAACAAAAACACTTCCAATGTGCAAATGCACTTCGATTCACCATTAAATATCAGATGATCTATATAACGTGTTTGAAAGATTAAAAATGCTTCTCGTATTTGAGTGATGATATGGTATAGTACCTATATTTGTCGGTATTGATCGAGTTGGATGTGCTCCTCAAATTCTACTTTTAAATAAAATTGATATAGGGATAAAAGATAAGTTAAGAAGTGTGCTGTACTGCAGTGTATCGATTTAAAATCGATGAGCACATCAAAATGACGTCATTATCTGATTATATTTAATTTATTACACACAACCCAATCGTGAAAGATCCTCATGCAGAAAATGTGCTTTCGAGATACATTCATCCTTCTGACGATGAAAAAACTATTGTACTGTATATTCGAAGTTCTGCACATACATTCGCATCAAAAATATTTAAACAATTTATGACGATGACTGTATCTACAGTATTTGAATAGTAAAACTATATTTTTAATGATGACGACCGCGCCATTATGAGAGATGTGTATCAATCGTGACGTAAAGTAGGTCAGAAACAGCCGAAGTAGTCGGCCTTAACCGAGATCGATGAATATTTTGTGACCAACAGAGATTGATTGAGATGTACTGTGTAATACAGTACTTCTCACGGGTAGTAGCATTTATATTATGGCCTTCATTCGGCGCATATACTGAAGTTATTTTGCTACAAAAATGCCTTAAGCAGTCTCCGACCATTTCCGGACTATCAGGCATCGCTGTTTTCCTAATGCGTCCAATAACTCAATCTTATGATGCATAAGAAAAAGGCACAAATTTATAAGTCATTAGTATAGCAGTAATGAGATCATGCATCCGGAATTTCCGTTCCCAAGCAATATGTCATCTCCAACATTCCCACGATGTACACACGTGCTGTTCAACCAGCAATGGTGAGAGTTCTCTCTGCTCAATGACGTAGCAACACTTACACCACCAGCATCGAAACCACAACGCTGCGCAATTTCCTATTTTGAACAAGGCCACGACTTGTGGCAATAGTGGCATAATAAGCAGGCAGCTTCCTACCAAATAAAAGTTGGCCAATTTTTGCCAGTACATTATCATAAAGATAATTCAAACCAAACGAAAAAACGAGAATTTGGTTCAAATTTGCCGTTTTTGCCTGATGGAAGTCATGAATCGCAGCATTTATGTCTCGAGATTCACTCGATGACGCGCTTAGGAAATCAAATTCGCCATCATTTCCGCGTACATAGTTACGTTTCTCGTCCTGATATCCCTCAAGAACGTATTGCTGATTTCAGTTCGATTCCCAATCAGTTCGATGTCATCAAAAAGTCTGGTAACACAGAAATTGAATCTGTGCTGCTCGCCCATAACCTTCACACCCATAAACTTCACAAGGTTAACCCGCGGATGATCCACAAACTTGGTCAGAGGAAAGTTGGATTGAGTTCAAGATGAAGTAGGAGCTCCTTCATCCATATTTCAACGTATGAAAGCTTTTCAAAATCGTGTAAGTAGACAAAGTAGTCATTCATGTTATTGCTCAGAAGGTAATCAGGGCATTAATAGGAGACCGGATAAGTCTATGTGGTCTAATTCCGGGGCTTCGGCAGATAAATCCGTTAATTATGAGAAGGGCTGCTTGCCATTATAGAGCGTACAAATTGACTAATTCCGGGGTAGAAACCCTATAAAAGTGATCTCAAGAGTTCAACTCCACAGAGAAAAGTTCGATCATGTGGAGACACTTGAGCCGAACCAGCACGGAGAGCATCACAAAGAGACACCAACAATAACTCCTTCACGAACGTGCCAACGCCACCGATCCGTTTCAAACGTCACTCAAACTCATTCTTCGGTTCGTTTCAAAAGGTCCACTGCACTTCTTTACTTATTCTTAATTCTCTGTTCCCTATCATGGTGTGACACGCTCTTGCTCGCGAATGCGACGTTCTTTAGTCCTTCGCGGTTTGAATGTCGCAAGAAATGCGTCGCAGTACGGGGTGTTCTGCTCGCGACCGTGCAGAAGTGGGACAGACAGAGCCGGAGAGAATCAAGCTGTTTCCTTGCCATGGAACAAGTGTCGGGACGACGTTTGCGTGTGCGAGTGTGAAAGAGAGAAAGAAGGCAGTCATCTCGCGAGTCGAAAACACCGGAAACCATCCACAGGCAACGAACGGGTTTCCCTCAAGGTTTCAGCATCTCAATGATGGGGAAGGTGGTGCTACTCGATGCCACCACACCGTTGCAAATCTGGGACATCCTGATGTAAGCTTTCAGTGAGATGTCACTGAGTGTCCATGGCACAGTTGAGCCACGATAAATCTAACCTCCCTATGTCGATTTCTTTTTTTCAAGTCCCCGCCTGAATTCGCTTAGGAACAATCCATTGAAAACCTCCCGAATTCGAAGGCTTTTTCCTCTCAAACCTCTGTAACTCGAATTTTCGGAGGCCTTTTGGCTATTTCAGTCACACAGGAAAGAAAAGAGTAATAGATTTGTAACAAGGTATTTTCAAAGGAAGTGGGAGACAAATTGGACAAATGAAGCCTTGCCTCCAAGACCAGCATCCAGTCAAATCATTGAGAAGCAACTTAAGGTCCAAAATGTCATCAATTAAAATTTCCTAAAATTATTTTTTTTCCCACAATAATGCTTGTTTCTCCAACGAGAATTTTTTTGCTGGTCCCTTGAAATTTGACTTGACAAATTCACTGCCTTGATGCGCAATAATGAAGAAGCCAACAAGAACAGGAACATACCTTATTTTGGGATCTTCCCATTTCCATGGTGGTGAAAAATCGTGAAACAAAGAAACTAAACACGCATTCCTTACCAAAGAATCTCGATGAAGTCTATACAGAACAAGTAACATTAGAAGTAACACCAACAGACTGACGAGGAAACAACGGGTCCATTTCATCGCGTTAAACGCGGAAGATGCAGTGGAGACAATTCATCGCTGTGCTGGGTTGTCCGGAAGATCATTTGTACCTAGCACCAGAAAGCGACCCGCCACCCTGAAGTGGTACCCCATGTCGGCGGAATCGCGTTTCTCGTGAATCAGCGGAACTGTCTTCCTTGGAGACCAGTCAGCGTGCCCTGTCTGAAGTTATTTCGGGATCGAGCACAGCCCTGTATATTATCTTTTTCTTATCCCCTTTCTTCCTTCAACGCTTTTTTGGCAAACTGGCAGTTCACAAGCAGTCTCAAAGCATTCTATAGGATGTAAATTCAGAACGCTTTACAGCGGAACTCATACAGGCAGAAAGCAAGATACTGTAACATTAATTTCTAAGCGCAAAAAATAAAGCAGAAACGAAACTTTTAGTAGATTCAAAGCCTAATTAGAATATTAAATATGTTTACTTCGACAAAAGGCTAGAATATCTCGCCAGTCCTCGCCACCAGAGACCAGATACTACACTCTCTCTGGAAAGAAATTCAAGGGACGCGAAAAATTCCCTATAGCGAGAATTTCGTCGAAGAAAACCCCTATAACATGGGGGAAAGAACCTTATGAGACACGTTACACGAAGAAAATTGTTGCGGACCAGATCGTTGCAGAAAAGGAGTGGAAAAATAATACTTTTTTGATTTTCTAACATTCGAGAGGATCTTTTCCCCCAATAGTAAGTTATTAGACACCACAACGAGTTCGTTTCGCGAGCAGAATTTCCAAAAACAATTCGCTGCCTCTGCAGATCGAACCTGTCATGAACACATCAGTCTTACGCGGTGAGTACCGATACGCCTGTCATTGTCTTTTGTGCCTCGAATAAAATCTCAATTCACGAAGTGCATTAAAAGCTTTATATGTCGAATGAGCATAAGCACAATCGTTTCACACGCGTTTTCAACAAACAACACGTCATAAAATACCCAAATACTCGCGGAAAACATGAGATGAATAGGACGGACTTATTTCTCGCGATCTAAACCGTCGCTCGATTAAAAATAAAAAAAAAAACATGCCTTGGAAAAAATTTTGAACACGGGAGCTGACGTGGACGGTATCGGTTCCCCCAGCGACAAAATCGCAACGATTAAATAACAAAAGTATATAAAACTATTACCGCGTTGCTCCGTTTTCCAGTTCATCTCGCCAATAAAATAAACGTGATCGCAGAAACCACGAGGAAGGAAGGTACTTGCAAGCCGATCCCAGAATTGCAGCGTTCATCGAAGTCACAGAAACAGAAAGTCACGTCGTCGTAGTGCGTCCTGGTGAATAAAAAAGAAAATCAAAGTTGCCATGAAAGTTGTTTATTCATTAAATATGAATAAACACGACAAAATTATAAAGGCGGGACGAACTGAAAAGTGAATTACTGTACACTTGAACAGCATTCGGAAAAATAGTCCGCAATTTCAATCCAACTATCCGATCGCCACACAATTTTTTTCAAAAGTGAATAGATGTCGCTCGAATCTTACAAGAGGTTGCTCATACGATTTTAGTTTCGTTTATTGCAAATTACATCTGATTAACTTGAACTACCTCGGCTATTATTGATTCTGTTTAGTTATTTCCCTTAGAATCCATATTACAGTACAGATTCACGCAACTGACAGACATGCCATGTCAGAGACCAAGTTCGGGTGCAACAACAATAGAACCGACGCATCAATTTAAATAGTGTACCATCATCACTCGTGTACAACGCGCCCCTTGAATCTTACAACAATTCTCGCGAAGAAAGTTGCAAAAAATCCTTTAATAATTTTTCAATTGTGACTTTTTATGAGTGCACCATCAGGCTTTTCCAGAAAAATGCTGAAAAAAAGGACATGCAAGAAAATACAGTATGCTACTCGACGGAAATCATCCACCATTAAAACGAAACACAGGATGCATCCCTGCCCACGAAAATTCATTCGGAATTCCTCAAAAATTTAGACATAAAATGCAGACCTTTTAAATTGATGTCATATTGCAGAACCACGTGTTAAGCTTTTACTTTCACTCGAACCATTTGTGTAAATAAAATGTAATTTGAGAAGTCAGGAACGCAGGTGAGTAAACTACTTGTCAAAGAAGGCGAAAGGTCATGAATCACCTGTCGATGTCGAGTTCCTTAATGGTGTTGTTGACGTAGTGACCCAGCTTGACGTCTTTCGCGGCAGAACGACAGCCTTCGTACCTGTCGGCCGGAATGTCGCGTCGGAACTGCTCGAATTCCGACAAACATCCACGCGTAATTAATGTATTGCCTAAAAAATAGAAAAAATTTCATATTTCACAAATAATTTTCCTGGTTTGAAAAATAACATCACACCAGACCTCACATTAAAACTCTAATAAGAGGTTTAAATTGTACTTCGAAATTTAAGCTTTTTCAAAAAGTAACTTCATTGGATTCTTCAAATCGAATTCTTTTCCGCAAATTCAATCTGAAGCATAAATTAAATTCAGGAATCTTAATTTCATGCGCACGATTCATAAAGAACATCTTTTTTCACGAAGAAAATACCATTGACCACTTCGGGTTAGAGCAGCATAAGCATTACGTATTCATCCTCAATAGCACTCTCAAAATTCCGTCCGAAAAAGTACTAACCATGCTTTTTCTCGATTATCTTGACACATTTATCGTCATATCCTTCGCAAACTCTGCTCCAGTGCCAACGATAATCGAAGACTTCTCCACAACCCGGATGAGTTCCAACACAGCTGTAACACCATAGCGCATCAACTGTAACGAGAAGATGAAAGTTGTAATTCATAGGCTGAAGGTGTCAAGAAATTGCATCGCAGCATAAAACTCACCTCCAGTTAACCATGCTGCAACGGCCAATAATAAAAAGCACAGATCCCCTCGACTCATTTCGCCTGTAACACGGCACATAAAGTAAAAATAAAATATTGATGTAACGAAGCATTACAAAAATACAATTTTCAACATTGCTTGCGCATCGAAAGAGCAAGTACTAAAAGCGTGAGCATGCAAGCATAAAAGAGCAAGTATCAAAAGAGCGAGTCAACCGAATAGCAACAACACGAGATTTTAGTTTTCATTAGATTAAATCAGTTCACTTAGATTTCTTATATTTGTCCGGTTGCCCGTGGGCTGTTTTAATACTCGGTCTCTCGTGCTTTCTTCAAAGAGATTTTTTCAGTTGATACTTGCTACTTCATGGCATCACCAACAAAACTACACGAATTTTTCCCAGTGAAGTAATTCATTCCCACCACCAAATGTGCCTGATCTCCAGCATTGCACGACACAGAACAGATCAAAAACTCCCTCTTCGCACAGCAAAATCACGCGATTCAAAACGGTCCAAACTATGGCTAAAACACAACCTTCAAGCAAAAAAATTTCCCGCGGAACAGAAATCACAGAACGTGAAATCATCATGCATGAAAATATAATGAATTGTCAAAGCGATCATGGGTCCGTATTGCACACTTTCGCACTCACGAAAAAAAAAATCGAAAGTGTCAACAGTCGCATTAGCGAAAAAAAAAATCGTCCAAAAACACCGTCCATCACGAAAGACAACGGATCGAAAAAATCTTTTGAATGCCACGTGTCACCGAGTTTACTGTTACCTGTGCAACAACCTTTGAACTTCAACGCTGCCCAGCAGCTGCAACAAAAAAACGCCGAATCATCGGAGTTCCTAGAATATTTTTCGAAAAAAAAAAAAAGTCCCGAGACTCACGAAAAAATGCCTTCAAATAACAAGATCGATCACACACCAGTACATTCCGGAAATGCGTTCCCAAAAATGACTTCGAACGCTGCTTTGCTATGCTTGAAATTGGTTCAGTCTTGAAATGTCCTGCGACGCGAGTGCCTTTTTCCGTTTGCTATTCCGTGAGTTTTCTTTATTCTCTCTTGTCTTTACTTGATCAACCGGTCGGTCATTTTCGTCATGATATCAAGTGGGGAACGTTTCGTCAATAATGCAGCTGATCCAAGGGCAAGCACAGGCACAGTGGCAAACAGCGCAATCGCAACAACCGGTAGCGGCAATGCAGCCCTTTCCCAGAAACTCAGTTTAATTTCCGGAACTGCCAAAATGTTGATTTTGTCTTCGTCCGCTTCCGAGTACTTTCTTACGTTCGCTCCTAAACTGATCAACGCCTGTAGAGAAATAATAAGTTTCATCTCATCTACAGCCTGGAATTTCTTACGATTTAACTAGAATTTCGGGCGTTTTTTTGAAATGATTGAGAGAAAAGCCTGCGTGACAATGAGGCTTGAAAAAATTGGTCTTCGACAAGCACAAATAAGCCTTAGTGTGACTCCATTCAGGTGATAAAGAGGGAATAAACGCGTGCAAAAGAATTGTATCACGAATGACATATACATAATACAACTTAACAAGTTTCCCTTTCCGAAAATATGAGTCATTTCCTGTAAATCTGTACCTTCAACAACACTTAGGTATGTTCACCTCATACTTGGAGCTCGTAATACCTAAAATGATACACTGTCCTCACAAAATCACAATTTCAAGGAAGTTCTCGAAGTAAAAACATTTTGCTGATGTCCCACTGAGTTTGCTATGACAAGATATTGGATCTCAGTATACAGTGCCAGTTCACGGGTGGAATGAAAAACACTCAAACATGCTGGACTGCGATCAAACGTTTGAAGTAATGTAATCCTCAATAATGTTCATTTGTGACGAACTTGAGCGTGCTGATCACACGCGTGATTGAGAATTTTCAAAACAAAATTTTCGGAAAACAGCTAAAGAAAAAAACCTTACTTCATTAGCTGCCCTGCGTCCGGCACGGATAGCTCCATCCATGTAGCCAGTCCACAAGGTTGCGCTCTCCGAACCGGCCCAGAAAATGCGCTGTTGTCCGGCTTCGTCAAGGGCAGGGTTACGGATTTCAGATCCGAGCATAGACATGACGCCCGGTGGATAACAACTCGTATAGCAGCCACCGATAAACGGCTCTTTCATCCACGCTTGGTCCTCATAATGAATAGGCTGAAACGTATGCGTATTAATAGAATAGCATGTCGACCCAACTTCAGCAGATGCTCCAAAAATATTTAATATAATTGATCGTTCTGGCGAAAGGGAGATTTCTCATCAATTTCCCCGAGAAAAATAAAATAAAATTTACGCGTCAATTTTCTGCCGTCTTCCGTGAACATTTCAAGAGATGTTCCTATAAGAATATCAGTTCTCATCAAACGTCCAATTTAAAATTTTAATACTGTATTTCAGGACGGTTTAGCTAGAACCTGAAGTAACTAAAACGACGTTATCATAGCCTAGCAAGTACCGGTGATAACATAAAATATAAAAACGTACGGCGGAACGTATGAACGTCAAGGCGAAGAAAATTATGAAGTCAGCGAAAGGTGGAAGTTCTGATTTGAAGTAAATACACAGTACTTTGAATATACCACAGTAAATTTAAAGTTTTACGTCGACGTAACAACTCAGCTTGATGTCACGGAATGAAGTTAATCAATTAATAACTACGAAATATCCGCCCAGTTACAAGTAACATAAATCTTGAATCACGAACAAGATACGCAGGAGTTTCATGCGGCAATCACTTAAAGTCAAAAGACATTCTCAAATAACTCACATGTTTGAAACCTTCGAGACCCGAAGATCGTGCCAAGTTCTCACCCAAGAAACGTTTCCGTTCTTCCACAGGTCTAGAACTCAAATCCATAGCTCTTTCACCAAAGCAAAAAACTGTAATTGCTCCGCCGCCGACTCCGGGTACGCAATCATCCACGCAATTATGCGTGTACATATTTTCTCCGATACATGACACGAAACCGTTCAGTCCTGAAAAACACAATTAAAACGCCAGTTGAGAAGTTGAAAAGCATTAATTCAGGGTAATTCAATCCTTCATAAGAACTCGAGACGAAGAAATGCGAGACCAACTTATTTGGTCGAGGGGAGGGAAGCGAAAATTATTCTGTTCTTTTAAGTAGTAGATGACGCCTGAGCAATAAGAGGATATTAGAGGCATCCTCGGAACGAGGAGTTTTGTCCATCGAAATAGGAGAGATGAGGGGTAAAAATAAATCGTTCAATAATTTTTTCTAATGTTAGTGTAGTACTGCAGTGAATTGAGTAAACCAGCTTTTTTTCCTTGAGAAGACCCAATATCAACATTTATCTTTCCCAGACGCTGTGTTGGGATGATGTTGAAATTTTTTTAAGTCGTCCATGCTGTCTCACCTTTCCTTCAAAAAATTCCATAATTAAATGTTCATTAACCTCAAAATATTCACGCTTTTCCTGGGCCTTATCCTCATTTATCACGCGGAATCTCACGGCGTACCTGTTTCTTTCCAGAAGGGTTTCTCGTAATACAGTTCACACTTGATGCACATTCCCATGTGCACTCGCTGGACGAGTTGCCGACGACGCGGTGAAATCGGAGGGTTGTAAGAAATGGAGTTTTGCGTCGGCAACGGAGTAGCCACAATAACTCTCGCCACACGATATTCTTCTCCTCCTATCGTTTTTACTACGATACAGTTGAGGGCATCTTCTTTCCGGGCTTGGTTGTTGACCGAGAAATCGATGGATGCAATCGGGCTATTTTTCAACACTCGAGCTTTAAAAAAAATACAAAAAGATTGACAATTGGAGCAGTCCAATAAATAAATAAAAAGCTGCATGATGGCTCAAAATCACATCGAGAAACTTACAGCCGAGTTTGGCAGCCAAACCAATGGAAATGTATTGACTGCCTCCAATAGTTTTGCGCTCTTGAGCACCGCCATCCGCATTCCAAATCATGTAAGACCCTCCGGCACTTCGCACGTACCACAGGTACCACAAAAGGCTGACCTGACACGGCGCATCAGTGACGTTTGTCGAAACTTGAATTTCAAAGAAGTCCTTAGCTTCTCTACGGAAAAAAGACGCTTATTTCACGATGCTTTTCCAAGTACTGTACCGTAATAAAAAAAATCGAAAAGCTCCATCGAATCAACGAACTTTGGCCCTCCATGCGGATATTGCTTGCATCACTGACCGGACAACAATTACTCACCACAGTATAAGTACTGTAAAATGCAATCTGACCTGAAATAACTTGATGGAAAAAAACCCCTGGAGTAGTCCTCAACAAATCGAAGTTTGTTAATTTCTCAAGTAGATGCCTAATTTCTTGCTTGCCTGGAGCATAATTTTTCTTGAGCAGGAGTGTTTTCGCAGTTGATTTGTAATACTATTAATAAAGACTTTTTTCTCTTGGATTGGTGCAGAAAATTCGCCATTCCATTTTGTTTCAAATCACTTGGTTCCTGCATTTTTAATAATGAACCCAAAATTGTGTGATTCAAGAGCTTGGTCCTGTTTTTCGAAGGAGGTACGGAGCATTTAAATTAAGAAGAAAGAAGAACTCTGGTGAGATGCTGGTGTTCCACCAGGTCAATCGCTAACTTTTGCATCAGCATTCACGGGGATAAACTAGAAACTAACTGCGTCCAAAACGTAGCTGCACTCCATTCCTCGACGGTCATCGAATCCCATTCCAACGCACGCTCACAAGTCCATGGCTCATCGTGAGGCACTTTCCACACCATATCTTCGAACTTCTTCATTCCCCGAACCAAATCCCACCAAGCGAACGGATTCTTCCACACCGGCCATTGACCTCCACAAAACAAATATGCTTTCAGTTTGTAAAACAAAACTGATAACAATTGTTCCTGAAATATGTTTTCAGGAACAACTTCACAATAAATTAGCAAGATTTGATAATCACCACTGTATTGGGTGCGTTTCCCATTCGCGAAGACCAGCCAATCCTGTTCCGAGTGAATCTTGTACGTCTTGATCCCGAGCTCATCAATTAGTCCCAAAACCGCATTTTGAGAAGGTCCAACAAACGCGCCTCCCAAGTCGACCCATCCGAAACCACCAGTTGCTTTCGAATCCAGAGTCTTGGTAAGTGTTCTCCCACCAACCCGATCATTAGCTTCGAACACAATAGCTTCTCCCCCTGCATCAACGATCGCTTTTGCAGCAGACAATCCTATGTATGAAACAAGCAAAAATTATGGCCATCAATCAACTTACAGTAATTACATGAAGAATTACAAACACACGTGGAAACAAAGTTCTTTCGTCTCTGTAATCCCACGAATAAGTTCTGTTCGCGAATTTAATTGCTAACATACAGTTGATGTTTAAGTTTTAAAAATAATTCAGACAGAATCGAGACGACGGCGACTACCCAACCTTCAGGCATACGAAGATCAATACAAAAGAGCATGGAATAAAATTATGTTGAATGGCGCTGAATATTGGAATTAACAAACCATCACACACACACAAAAAAAAATAAATACCGAAGCGGAGTCACACAGAATAAAAATCTGAATAATAAGGTACTGACCACTGAGTCCACCGCCAACGACAGCAACAATGCCTTGAGGAGTATTACTCATCTTCTTTCACCAACCAAGACCCTCGGACACGAAAGAAAACCACTTATACAGTTTATCAGAATGAATAGACCAAAAGCTCGCGGCGCTGAACCTGCAAATACAAGCTCAGTTCAATGCATCACATCATGAATCCCGTAAGTCATCACAATAACAGTCAGCAAAATAATACAGTACATAAATAGGAAAGAGCCCACGAAATTTCCACCGAAACGACAGCGCGGAAGGACGTTCTTTCTCTGAAATCACACTCGAGGACAGGAAACTTCACATAACGTGGTTCCCTCCAACTTTGTTCCAATCATCAACTTCCGGATGATCAGCGACACTGGGGGCAAGTTCGTAATTACAGATCGTGACGCCGTGACGGTGAGCCGGGCGCCATTCGCCCGCCAGGCCGATATAATCCACCCGAGTCTTGTCAGTGCCATAATTACCCGGAATATGAATTGACAGGTACGTCACGTCCGAAAATTTCGTTGGTCTAGAAGAAAATCATTGAATCTGAATTAATTTAATCGCTCAGTGTAAAATTATAATGAGAAATACTGTATGTATTTTTTGTCGATTGATAGATTAAAATTATTCGTTATGAGCGAAGTCAATACTGTACTTGATGCAGGCATTCGTTCCGTAAGTCACGGAAAAAATAAGTTTTATAATTTTTCGAGTTAAACGGTAGTTCGAAGCACTTGAGAATTCGTCATTAAATAATTACAACTGAAGGAGGAAGAGTAAATCAACGATGATACTGTAACGTTGATGAACACTGGTCGAATGAAGAAAGGAGTTTGGCCTCGAAGAATAAAATGATGCATGGTTCAAGTCAATAGGGATCTTGAGGAAATTCCGTCAAACTTGGGAACAGAAATTGAATTTATCCTCAGTTAACACAAACTGAAATCGTGTACGTTGAAAGCTTAGAATTTATTACGCAGACAGGCATTAAAATAACTCACTTCAAAGGATATTCGATAACTCCTTTCGGGTCTTTGGAGAGGCTAATTTCCTGATCGGGCGCACCACTTGCAGCATCGAAAGTCATTTTCGGCCGATTTTTAAACCTTTGAATTGTCAATGTTTCCGAATTGTCAAGATGCGTTCGATGTCATATTTGAATAATGTCGTTCACTCACAAGCGTATCTTTGACGGATGAGACTCTTCATCCGGTCCCATTAAAATTATTCCTTTCATCTTGACGCTACCGGTGAACCTGTAAATTCAAGGCAAAAGTTAGAAATCTTCAATTTCTTGGGGTCTCTATACGCTCACACAAGATCTGATACGAACTGAACATTTCTTCTTTGCAATTAAGGTACACATGAAAAAGTTTCAAATCGAGGCACAGAGTCGTATTGTAAGAAAAACGAACATACGAGGCGTTTCGATGAATATACTTACGGAATATTGAATAGGAGCTCTTCATCTACGTCACTCTCCACGAACTGGAAGAAAAGAAGAAACTATATCGTAATACACATCGTAATACAGAACAATGTGAAAGCAAGAACCTTTCCGTTGTTTCGTTGATCCCAAGGTTTGAAAACATTCAAACCACTACCTTCCCGATCTTCGTTCAAGCACTCCACATTATTCGTTTCAATCTTTTCGTAAAGGCTGTATTTGAACCCTAAATCTTCAGAAAGGGAATGGTCACAAGTCCCGTGACCATGATTACAACCATGGCCATGTCCCTCAGCCATGATCTCCACTTCAATACCTCTTTATCACTTGAAATATTCTGAGAAACAAAAACAGGCCACTGTTGATTCAACACTAGAATGAGATTAAGCAGAAATCAACGACAGAATATAAGTACTGTCCACATTCATGTAATCCATATTCCTCATGCTCATCGAAAGAGCTAAAAAAAACCGGAACAAGTCTATGCAAAACCCGATATCAAAACTAACGCATGAAATATTCCATAAAAAGAAAAATTGGTCAATAGATTCTAAAAGTTTCGGAACTGTTTCATAAAGCTCGCCTAATTGTCCGGGTATTCGTCGGATGGCGTTGTACATATGACAGTACGGAAAAATATTATTGAACTATCATGATATCACGTTTCCAACCATAATATTTTCTTTGTCTTCCGAAATATCAACTTTCGGGAGATACGGAATAACTTTCGAAGTGGAAGATAGATTGCTTATTGGACGGGGACAATGGTTGTAAATTTCGAACCGACGTCCGAGTCCGTAAACTTTTTGCATCGTCATGTCTTTCCAGGCTCTCTTTCTCCTGTCCAAATTTCCAGGATTCGGATTGATTTCCACAGCTTGAAACTTTGTGATCACCTCTTCCTTCGGAGAATGCACGGGGTCGCACAGGCGCGCCACGAAGTGATGCGTCATGGAACCAATGAAAATCTGTTGATGCAGGAACAAATCATTTACATCAGACACGAAGATTTGCATGATGTCAAAAACACCGCGAGAATTCTAAACTTTCTCTAAATAATTAAATATTCGAAATTTGATAAGCCATGTATTACACGAGCGTTCAATAAACGTGAGAATACAGCAAAAACAAAACAGCGGAATCGCTTTCACAATAAGCGCTAAAACCAGAATAAAAATTAACTATCAGGAAGAACTGCGGATTAAGGCAGAAGCAGTATTACTCTAGTTAGTCTAATACATATTCCTTACGAGGTAAATAATACACTATGTACAAAATGTAATGCAACAAAAATAAGATAATGTCCTCATCAATCTTGAATAACTGCTCAAAAAATCGCAGGAAGTTTTTTATGGACTATACAATACTAAATCGCATGAGATCAGAATTTTTGATGATCACTTCACATTGTTTATGAACTTACAGAAAGGTTCATGAACTCTGATACATTTTCGGCAAATTCACGGTACTTCCTCAGATTTTTCGTCTTACGATATTTTCATTTCGATCGATACATTTAAAAAAATTAAAAACAGAATATGTAATAACTAAGCAGACATATTCAGAATTGAACAACTTTTTAAGAGCTTCCCAAAATTTTTTTTGAAAAAATTAACAGAAGTCGTAACAGTTGGACTTTCTCTACGACGAAATTCAAGGAAACAGCAAAATATCGTTGTGAAGATAATTTCGTTGAAGGAACTCCTGCAACAAGGGTAGAAAACCCTATGGGACAGAACAAATCGTTAACAGAGAAAATCGTTACAGAGAGAGTCTACCTGTAATTTTAATATAAGGCCAAAGCCGTATTCAGCACAATCCCATCAACTCACATCCCCAGGATCAACGGCATGACAATCCAGACATGTGACACCGACACCGTCGAGCTCAAGCTTGGCGGTCGGCAAGCATGACGAGCTCTTCAAGTCCCAGAACACAATTTCATCCGCACCACTCTGAGCCACCATGTATGAGCCATCACAGCTAATGCACAAGGGATGATCGAATTTTCCCTCATGACCAGAAAATTTCCGCACTGCAACGTTCCACACAGATCGAGACAAAGACAAGCCAAAGTTAATTCCCGTAATCGATCTCATCTTATCGTTGACGTTCTCATTGATTCAAATTCAAGGTTGCTTGCTCGCCAGTTGGGTTTTATCGTACTGTATATGGATATCGCACCTCGGCCGGCGAAACGCTTCCTCGTCGAATGGGTAAAATTATATTTAAAATGCAGGCCGGGAAACCTTAACATGTTTCATTGAATACTTATCGTTCTGAGAAGCAAGATACATTTTGCTGTTGGCAAAGCCTCCTTATTTTCTTCGAACAGGTTTCCGAAATTTAGGGTGCCCAAGAATTGCAGTAGAGAAATTTAAAATTCAAGACGACAAAAAATTCGAGTAGAAGAAGCCCGATTTTGAAAGACGTGTAACAAAGTACTGTACCGTAAATGGTAATTAGCTTGAGACGGTGGACATCATTGAATAAATAAAAAATTATAACTCGTAGCAGGAAAGGAAAAAGACTGTTCTCAATTTGAATAAGGCGGTACAATACTGGGTCAACGCTCACCTACATACGCTTGAAATTCAGACTAAGAATAAACTTGGGTTGACTATCGGGAGTCTCACACTGCGAAACTAGTCCGTTCCAGGATTTCTGATGCTGATAAAATTTCTGATAATATTCCATAAAAATTAATCAAGGTTTAATTTAAAAAATGCATTTGTTTCGGACAAACAAACAAAAATTGCAATAGACCCACACAAATGTTTAATGTGACAAGTTAGAAATACGGTGTTAGAGTAATAACATTGCTTCAACAGAAATGCCATTAATTGGTTCTTCTCTGTTGGAAAAAGGGCTTAACAGACTTGACCCTTTATCCAAGCTGCTGTATTTCTTGCCAATATCCGAAATTAATTTTAGCCAGTTTATTCAAATGTATTGACACACTTGAAAAATTTCGTACGAAATATTTCGAAACGGTAATATTATCGTCAAATTTCAGAAGTTTAATGTGATAAATTGCTGGAATTCAAGCACTTCTGCCTAAAAAATTTCGCTATACGAAAAAATTCGTTTGTTGTCCTTTTAAAATTTCGCGATGCGGATTTATAGTTATACGAGTCAATCGTTATGCGGAGAAACATTGTAACATATACACAGGTTGACTCAACTTGAGACTGATGGTGACATCGACCCACATGAAAAAATAAGCCCTACATAGCAGACTAAAATGGTTAACTACCGTATATTATGTGGGCTGAAAATCTCACTCCTCAGCAACTTCGTCGACACTCCTTATTACTACCATTCGAATTAAAATGTGCAGGCACAGAATTTCTAGAAAATGGGTACGGTTGTCTGAATGTGAAAGGATCCCGTTTGATAAATCATCAAGTTGCTGAACTAATGCAGGATTAACATACAGTATTATGCATTGATACCGTATTCACTCCAGTGCCACGCGCACCTCGGAGGAAAAAGAGGTGCGCCGCATAGGTGGGTATTTTTTCAGTTTTAGAAGTGTATGTGAGCATCATAGTTGATTATAATGCGTATGAGGAACTTCGGACCAATTTTAACAGAAATGCCGCACTCATTATAAAGTAAAACTAGTTGAATTCAGATTCAATTCATGTCTAAATTAAAATATGGGTGCTCTCCTATACTAGAAATATTAGTTTTAGCGTCACTAAAAATGGGGTGCGCGTCTTACTTGGGGATACAAATAAATCGAATTTTTATTCGAGAAATCCTGGTACGAAAATACGAAATCATAGCACAGGAGGGGGCACAAGTCACTCACGTGGATTCCGATTGAAATTAATCACGTCGTATGCGTAAACAGATTTATCCGTGCAGCTCGCGTACAGAGTGCTCCTAAACTTGTCCAATGCAAGCGACACGGCCGAGTGACGACCATCCGCAGCTCCAGGCAAAGGCAAAACATGCAAGGGAACCGAGGGGCGCGTCCAAGATTCCGAGTAGGCTCGCCGCAGGTCCCACACACGTATGCACCTGCATTACGAACAACTTCAACGAGATTGCGCTTGGGTTTGATACCCATCGCGTATATATACTTTTTTTATCGATCGTCGAAAGAGACGACTTCGCCCAACAGAGGCCTAAGCCCCTCAAGCCTCAAGGGCTGTTATCGAAGCAAACGTCAAAGCCGGATTCCCGCAAATGCATTCGAGCCACAATACCGCGAAACAATCCCCGGAAAATCCGCAAATGGATAAGGTCAATGTAATTTTAATAGTAAGAAGTAAGAGGGATGGGTCGAAAGTTGTGCCAAAAAGTTCGTTAACAAAATTTTGAGACAGAGTCCTTAAATCAACAATCGGACACACAGCAGTAATACCAGTACGAGAAGCGAGTCCAGGTCAATCCGCGACGGACTATAACTTATCCGAAATACCCATACAGTACTTTATAATGGATTTCACTTTATCCGAAAGACCCCGAAAGTTCTGACAGCTGTATAGTATAGCAACGTAAGAATGTCAGCCTGTAAATACAGTACATGAAGTGATTTAGACCTACTTACATAAAACTACTTAAATCCTATTTGAATGCTAAATATGTCTCGATTTTCGGCAGAAATTTCCGTGCTAGCTTCAAACTCCGTTTCATTCGCAAAAAAATTGCAAAGATAAAAAAATACTCGTCAAAAATAATTGCAACAATCATTGGGAGCATCGAAACTAAATGTGAATTCTTTAAATGTTCTTTAACTTCAGCAGATGATTTTTCGAATGGCACTGAACCTCATCAGTGATGGGGTGTACATTTCAACCCTCGACGATATACATTCGAACAAATTAAAGAAAACGATTAAATTACATCAAGATTTATCAAATAATATTTCGTATAAAAGATACTTCGATCATTCAACGACGGAAGCGAAAGAAAAGAACTTATGAACCAACCCACGTAAGGTACTTCGACTTTGAACATCGTCAAGCAGATACTGTACAGAAAAAAATTCTCGCTTTTTACTAGTATTTCTTTGTTTTCTCTATTTTCTTTAGTAATGAATTATGGTGCCGTTGCGTCGCAAAGGCACAATAATTCGAAAACGTGTTCCCTAGCAATACGGTACCTTAGTTCACGAATAAAAGGTGAATTGTGAAAATGAATGTTAAACCTTCTTGAGGATATTCAATTTCATTCAAGTTACCATACAACCTTAACAGCAGTTCTGCGTAATCCAGCTGAACAAATGCTAATCGCCCACGCGGTTGAATCCGGATAATTTGAAATTGAAAAATCTCGAAATTTCAGCTTTGCGTACACATTAAAAAATATTAAATTGGCACGATTTTTGAACGTATTGAAACATTGAATAAAATTTGCATATAAATTCTTTAAACTTCACAGATGCTTCAAACTTCCCTGATACAAGATATTCTCTCCGAATGAACCAGTGTGACGGTAATGGCTTTAAAATCCTGCAATAAATCAAGAGCATTTTATATCGCATTATTCATTTATTTTTTCCAACAAAGACTTTAAAAACAACCCACGCCTCATTATTCCTAATGACTACAAAGAAGGCTGGCACCACCTATACCACTCCGCCAAAAATTATTTCATCAACTTATCTCGGCAAAATACCCGATTCACATACCGGTATTTGCGCCCCCTTTCATAATTCATTCCATCCACTCGCGCAATATCAATGGGGATTTGAATACCAAACTCAACTCCAGATTTGTGGAGTTTAGTAGCGCGGAAGTGATAGACGGGAAGCACGCCGCATTTTTCTCCCGTTCCCATGGCTCATCGCCAAAGTCGAATTCTTCGTGCAATGGCACCAAGAAAGCTTCCAAAAAGTTCTAAAAAAAATCCGCAAAGAACCCTCCTCAAGTCTGACTATCCTACATTGCATGGCACGGTTTCTTACGCGGCTCGCGGATTCAGAAGTTGAGCACTAATGTATACCAGTTCATGAAATTAACTTCAATTCAAGATTATCTGAATTCAAGAAATTCATACAGAATGTATTACCGATTATCGTCAAAGAAACTTTTCACAAAATTACGGTATTAACGCCCCACTTCAATCAACGACAATTAATTTGAAAACAAAACACACAGAATTATGAGGGTTTTGAAAAGTGCCCCTGAGTGGATCCCGTAACAGACAAACGAATGGGGGGAATAAGGAATCGCACGAAAAAGACGGTATTTTTCCATCCGAGACACTGATAGTCCAACCAAAAAAGGAACAATAGATGACCTTCAGTGATCATGTGTTCCTCCACACCCGGGGAACGCCACTTGATAAGCAACAATATGCTGGTTACAACTCGCCTGATAAATGCTGACATTTTGTCATGGCAATAATAGAGAATAGACGACATACTTTCAATGTCGAGAATCAGCATTTGAACCCAGTATATTCATTATTTGGCAGACCCAATTTTAATAAAAAAAATTATGTGATCCTGATCATCCTGTTCTGTTTCATTTTCCTGATTAGAGCATCGATACAACTTTGAAGAACTCGGAAAATTTGCGGCGAAAGACCACTCAATTCCTCTCGGTATCAATCGGAATAATCATCGCAGAATGTTCCAGAAGAATAATATAAAATCCTTCAGCGTACATGGGCATAAGTTAGAAAATGGCACTAAAACTCAACCCTACGTCTACAGACGACAAATAAAGTATTACACCCAGTAATGTAAAATACAGTATACCTCTACTGTACTCGTAGATCACATAAGTAAGTGGTCTAGCATAATCAATCAAGTTGAACAGTTAGTAAGAGTGAGTGCTGATAGTTTCAATCTAGAACGAATCGCAAAGACTGACTTGATACCAAAATGCTTCATAATTTGTTTCTACGCATTCGTCGTTATCTATGGTTTATTCGAAGCTATCCACGAAAATGTCGCCCCTATTCATAATCAAGAAGACGTTTCCGAACATTTTTTTCGGAACAAGTTGTGATTCCCTGCGTCAGCTTTGGCTACAAATTTTTAAGGATAATATTTCATAATTTCACAACCACGAAGCTCATTATGTAATACAATATCACTTTTCCAATCATAGCATGAGAATTGTTGCGAGGAAATCACGTCAACCCGCCACTCTTGCACGTTAAGTATTTGCGAGAGCTCTGAAAGCTAGGAAGTATTAACCAAAACCAAAAGGCCTGTACACAAATAAAAATCCCCGAAAATGGTCAAATTTTCAGCATTATTTATAATCCTTACGTTAGGAATTTTTATTTCAGTGCAACGTACGCCGAAGTTTATTGATCAAATGATGTTGATTGAAATCATTTTTTATTGGAACGAAAGACCTTACATGAAACTGATGAAACTTCTCAAGTAACTCTCAAATTCAATAAACTTCAAGGAGACGAATGTAGGCCGGATTTCGGAATTGGCCACCTCAAAGTTTGCTTCAGCATCGAGAATGTTGTTCATCAAGGGATTTTTCAACTGATCAGGAAGCATTCACTGATAGGAAAGATAGAGTTCCATAAATTGTTTAAACGAGCACGAGTTGATAAAATCAACAGCATTTTTCCGATGAATGGGCCGTCTAAAGGCGAATCCGACATTTCTAGGTCTCGTACAGCTTTCCACGAGCAACTGATATGGAGCGAAAAATATTTAGTACAGGAGGAGCAGTATTCAAATTTTAAAAGAAGATGTTTAGAGCGATTAAGGACAGTTTAGAGCCATATCTGGCGTCTACACACAAGCGACAGTTTTTTCTCAAAAATAACGTAGATTCACTCACCCATCTCCATCATTGGCGGTTATCATGTGATTGCTATCGACGAACTGAATTCCTTGAACTGAAGTATGTCGCTCATTGGTATCACTCGCTGTAATCTTCGTTCGTTTCGATCCCAAGGCTGAAGTTTAAATTCTAAATCAGACCGGAAAATCGCGCAAAACTTGACACCAAACTCACGACTGATCCTTGGCAAACGTATAACCGAGGAAGTTTTAGACTTAACACGGAGATCCCAAACGATCACAGTAGAATCACGACCACCAGAGGCGAACACGGCTGAAGAATAACGAAAGAACTTTTTCGAGATAACTTAATAGATTCAAGATGTATGAAGAACTTACTATCACTATCCGGAAGCCATTTAACACACTTGACAGTTCTTTCGTGCTTCTGAAAAACCTCGCCAACAACTACTTCAGACGGACGGATACGAAGAATTCGACAGGTCTTGTTCGCCGTTCCGATCACGATCATGGGTTTACAAGTACTCCAGTCGAGATCGAATATACTGTGCGAGCCACACTCGGATTGCTTGAAACCTACGAAGTTCCATTCGTTTGTAAGCGTGTACGGAGAAAATCCAGAGACCACCAAAAAAACGTCCCCGATCAACTATTTATTCGTTGGAATCACATAATTGACTTACGAATCAGGATTAAGTTTTTTTTATTGTACTGCACTTCTAAGCACTGAGTTTCTGCATATGACGTTTTCGCTTGCTTCCAAGAGCATCTTGATTTTTTCGCTATCGTCAAGCAATCCTTCAGCATAAAAAAACCGCATAAATTCACTACCAATATGACCCCATGCAGTAAAAAAAAAATTTCAAAGAGACAAAGCTTTGATAACAACAATTCGGCAGTTCAAGATAGGATGCCCTAGTATTCGTTGCTTTCCTCCGATCACTAATTCCCATAACGTTTGTCATCAAGACGATCGGTGAAGTTCGACTTACGCCACTTCGGTTCCTCGTGGAGAGAAGAGGATGTATTACAAACTGTGACAACGCCGGAATCATGACCCAGAGCCACCAAAGGGTTAATTCCTTGGATTGGACAGAATTTCCCCACATAAACACAGCTGACGCAAGTAAATTCAGCTTCATCGCAAATGCCGATGTTCCACTTACTATCCGAACTTCTCACCGAGAACTTCGTTAAGAAGTTCTCCATAATTATCTGAAAATGATTCAAACGCACGAAAGATTAGATCTGGGAATTAATTGCGTCAAAGATAAAAAATGAAATACAAAAGAATACGAACAGAACGGTAACGAGTTTACTTCGTTAACATTCAAGTGATACACGCCCATATCAAGCTTGACATATTAGATGATTCACAGGAAAGAGCAGGGAGAGGGACCAGAGATGAAAATAAGAGCTAAACAAAAAGCAGAGGCTGAGACAACTTCCACGCTTCGTCACGATTCTCAGACATCAATTTCTTCCAAAGGAAGCGCCTAATCACGTAGCATACTTGCGGGTCCACTCTCTAGCCATATCGTTGTACTTCTGCTTGTCCGTTTTATATGTCCTAGCGATTTCTGGGACAAGAGGATCATCCGGGTTGGGATCACATAGCAGCGACGAAATCGACAGCAAGACTTTCGAAATGGTCAACGCTGGGGACCACTGCGATCTGAGTATGTCAAGACAGATGCTACCATTGCTGTTGATGTTAGGATGGTAGATCCGTGTGGTGAAAGCGACTTTCGGCGGCTTGAAAGGGTAGTCCGTAGGGAAATGGATCGTGAGGAAGAACACTCCTCCTTGGTACGGACTGTCCGGTGGACCCATGATCGTAGCTTGCCAGTGAAAAAGATCTTCTCCCACAGGACCTGCTGAACACTGAGCCGGCGGATCGCGATTGAGCTCCTGTAGCTCTTTGTTGATACGTTTCAGAGCCATACCGATATATCCGGTTACTCTCGCAACAAGCGAGCAAACAGGTCTAGCTCAACTGAACGCAATTTGCGTACTCTGTCGAAATAAAAACTTAGAAGGTATCACTGACATCAATCAACAAGCAAACAAACCTAACAGGCCATTATCGAAGTTCCTTGAGGCGAATGAAGGTATACTAGACGATAACGCAGATAAGACCTGCCTGAATGCAATTTCGTACGAGTAACTTACGCCTCAACGTTCTGAAAAAAAAATCCCTCCGTCCACCGTTCGGTTGAAGAATCGCGAAGGTTTGTACAGTACACGTAAATTACAAAATCCCAGTGAACAAACGTACAGATTGTTCTTATTTGCTACGCTCGTCAAAACGTGATCAATAACACTTCCTGCAACCTGAGATCACGAACAAGCTCGTATCACTCGCCCGTCGCCGGACCATGCTGCAGGTGGTACAGTGCCCATGAATTTCAGCATGGTACTTGCGACCCACCTGAGAATAACATCTTCCATTACCTCGAACAACCCACTGAAACATTCCACTCGGACTTTCCTTGCACCGAACTAAAGCCATCCTACGAGTTTTCTAAGCAGGAGCATCTCGTCACCTAAATCGAACTGAATATGTTGAAAGCCGAAACGTGTACATTACTGTATTTCCTCAGAATTACTCTGGCATTTAACACTCAGACTGACATTTTTCTCATCCTTCCATGTATCACAATTTCCTCTGATCTCCATTCTTGACTAATGCCCGAGTCAGGTTACCATTTGTGACAGATTTTCTTCTGCACAGATCTTTTGTACTTCTCTAAGAGCACAAAACAAAATCGACAACATGCATGTGTGTATATGCACTATGCGTGTTATACTGATAGCTGTAGAAAAGTATCAAGAAGAAGACCGATCTGCTTGTTTTTAATAGGGTATTACTGTAACAATGCATCAATTAATGCAAAATCTACCACTCGAATTTCCTGCACTTGCACCCTTGGCAAGTTAAGCATACATAATTTCGTCCATCTGGACAGATTACAGAATCATCAGCGTGGTATTTTATATACCGTACCATATACTGTATACTTGTTCATTGCAACATTTGATAACTGTATACTCGTATGTACAGAATACCCTAAAAAATTAGAGAAAATTGTGCGTAACAAATGGACAAACCCGCATAAAACGATATCTCGAATCGTGAATATATAGGTGTAGGGCATGAGGCAATTGATGCTAGAACCACACGAAAAGGGCCGCAATCGTTCTAGCAAATCTTCACCCCTTCCCAAGAAAAATTAGGAAAGAGAAAAATCCCGAGAAAAATTGCAATTCGGTTGATCATTCAATTTTTCCAAATCTTAATTCATCAAATTATCTAATAATTTACTTGCGTATTCACGGGATTCTTCCTGCATGCTTTCGGAAGAGTACTGTACTGTACAGTACTTATTATTCTAGCGTCCTCATTATCTTAACATGGCCCATGAACCATGATATAGACCGGTTCCCTCAACCGAGTTTTGGACTTCTGGTACATTACTAATCAGAAATTAAGGAGCATATGTACTGTAGTTCAAATGAGATATAAAAATTCGAAATGAGTACGGCTGATGATTTAACGTGCATTTCAGTGGTGTTGATATATTCATCATAAAATAATAATCTACATTTTGGAGCATTGAAGGACCTGTGAAGTAAATTTTCTTCGGATGACAAGGCACGAAAAAAATGCTAGCGCCTCAAAAATTCTGCAAAATTCTGTTCAAAAGCCATTTTTGACCGGGTATGGCTGTCCAGCACAGGACGCAATGTCTGACATCCACGCCGTGCCACGGTCTAGCCTGTTCCAATTATCCCTCCTCACCCGGACTGAAATCGAGAACGTTTTGATGAATTAAATATGATTCAATGCAGCATTTACGATGTATTTGATCGGGTTACGCTAACAATGCATATGCACAAACGAAAATTAAAGAGTCCACTGAACATAACGCGCGGAGCATCGGCAGAGAAGTGCGAACCGGAACGCGGTGTCTCCGTCAAAATTTCAGCATTCAAATGCCACTTCTTGGCTCTATCTCTTGTTTTGATACTTGTCGCTATCTACCCAATCGGAGCGCTTGCAAGTAGCTGAAAGACGCGACAGTGTCAAGCACATTACCAATGGTGAAACTCGAAGGCTCGGGGAAAATCGCCGAAGGCTAACTACACGTTGACGCACCGGATGATTAATTAGCGTCAGCCGAACGAGTACTTGGAAGCGACTTTACAATGAACAAGTAACACGAATAAATAACGCAAGAAAAAAAAAGCGACGCAGCTGCCTCGACAAAAATAAAATGGCGAGTTAGAAAAGATATCGAAATTCCACGCTCAGTGTACAAGCGAACGAAAGGTCCCCGAAAATGAAAGTCACAAAGCATAACCGCACTAAATGCACGAGAGGAAAACCATGGGAGCTGCGCATCCGATTTTGTTATTGCTGGAACAACGTTCGCGTGAAGTGTACGTAGTCAAACGCATTCGGTATCTCTCTTTCAGTCTTTGGATCAATGTATGGTTTCATCCTCGCAACGCAATAGTCGGCCATGATTCGAGTCAAGTTCTGAAAACAAAGATCAACCGTTCGGCATGAATACGGTTACAACACAGTGAAACAATTAAGAGATGATTTGTTTACCGAGTTCAATTCATCCTGGGTTACGTAAGGACGTTCGCCAGATGTAATGGCTCGGAAGGCGTTTTCGATCTCCTCCAGGCTTTGAACGTTCTCGGTTTCTTTGCTGATCAAGAACGCCATGTATTCCTGTAAGCTGACGCAGCCATCGCGGTTCGGATCTACCACATCTACAAAAATCCAGAAAACGAGGTCAATAAAGTTCTGCATGAAAAAAGGATCTAGACTCATTCTCTCGGTGCCGGGACATCTGAGCGAATCCCTGAATATGCAGTTTTAACTTGGAATTATTAAAATCAACGTCAAAACTTGATTTAATTGCGTCATGGACCATCTACTGAATAAATTGAGGCAATAATCACCTAGGATCTGCTCGAATTCAGGATCAGGTTTTCCCTCTTCTACCATCGGCAAATCGTACCCAAGAGCACGTAAGCAACTCTTGAATTCCTGGTGATTCAACCGACCGCTGCGTTCCTTGTCGAAATGCCTATTAATAGAAAAATAAGATCATACTTCTCAGCCTTCATTATTTTTCGAACTCATTCGGATGTGTACATACTTGAACATCATTGAAAATTCCTTCAAGGCGTCTTCAGATACACCGGATTGATTTCTTGCTTGAATTTGCTGTTCCAAGTTGTGCTGCATGCGCATTCCAAGCTGGTCAAGCTGATCCCATTGTTGAGCCAGCCCGACGGTCGAGTGTTCAGTGTAACGGTTATCCATGATCAAGTGTTCCTCCAACACCGCACCAAGTTCCTCGATCTTCTTCAAGTCAGTCTTACGGGCTCGAACTTCACCGGCTTTGCGCTTTATGGCCTCCAGTTGTTGCTCCAATCCCCCAGTGCCTTCCATCATTGACGATCGCGTTTCAGCGAGCCACATGTGGAAAGCGTTCGCGTGGGCAGCGAATTCTTTGCGGAGTCGATCATTCTCTTCCTGCCGCCCAGTTTCCTTCTTAAGTTCGGCGTCACGTTCCTTGATGATCTTTTGCAGATTTCGCCACGTGTCTTCCAGGGCCTCCATTGTGAACCACGTGTACGGATTTGGCCCAACGTTGTAGCTCTTGATTCTTTGGTCCAAAGCTGCGAGTCCCTCGAAGTCGGTTTGGGCAGATGAAAGGGAAGCGAGGAATTGATCATGAACGTCTCTCAACGTGCGGATTTCCTCGATCGAGTTGCAACGAACTGGGTCAGTCAAGTCTTCCTCGGCATTCTCGAACCAAGAATTGAATCCAGACGCCTACGAGCACAAGAGACTTCGATTACGACAAATTCTCGAAAATGTTATGCAGGAGTTCAAGAAATGGAGAATTGTATGATTCAGTTTAGAATACGGACATTTTGACACTGCAAACGGTAATACTCAATATAAATCCAGATTTTACAAACCTTCTTCGCAAAGATCAAATACAGCTCCTCAATTTCTCTAAATTGATCCTGCATGTGAATCAATCGCTGCTTGCGAGCATCCGAAGCACTCAAAAGCTTCTGCCACCGACCAATGACGTCCTCGTGACGACGCATGATACCAGCAGCCTGTTCGTGTTTAGCTTCGACCAGCTGATCTTTCAACGCAGTGATGTTCTGAATACCTTCCAACTCAAACGCATGGAGACCTGAAGTGACGAAGTTCGATAAAGGCAACAATCACCTAATGAACATCGCATCAGTGCAAGCCGCGGGTGGAGTAGAATTCAGGTAGGAAATTTTCAAATACATCATCAAGGCTTGGGCCAAGAAATAAGATCACAAGGCATGCAATTAGTTCTCAATGATTTCGCCAATTATTTAAAGAAGTTTTTTAACACACTGTACGTCAAAGCTTTTCTGAATGCGTTTCACCGAAGCCTTGCAATACGTTAAATTAAATACATTACTCTGCGTTTCTCCAGCCACGTAATTTTCAAAAACACTAACTTTTAAATGATACAAAATAATGTTTGCTGTTCCCCGACTTTCTAAATTACTAGAATGCCACATTCCAAGAATGAAAATTTTTCCAGGTAGAAGCATTCCTTAATCATACCAGCATCGAACGTCTCCTGCTTCGTCAGAAGAGTTTGAACGGATGAAAGGTCTCTTCCAAATTCATCACTCCGCACATGCGTCTCCTTGTCCGAAATCCAGGACTCAACAACATCTGCCTTCCACATAAATTGCAAATAAGCAGAATTGTCAAGCAAGCGGTGCTTTCGGCGATTAGCCAGGGCATCCAAATCATCAAGTTTGCTCGCAAGCTGGGAAACGCGAGATAAGATGGAGTCCGCGTGATGATTCCCATCATTCACCAGCTCGTTTCCAGCACTGCGAATTTCTTCGCACCGATCGCGGTGAACCGCTAGATCAGTTTCGAATGCTTCGTGCTTCTTAAGTAGTCCTTGAACTCCAGCCATTGTGTCACCGAAATCGTCCACAGTGAGAAGTTGTTGTTTCTCGCTGGAATGCGAACGAACCGTCAGAATTCGAACAGTTTTCATTTTTTCAAATAAGCCAACTGACCTGATCCAGGCTTCTTCCTCTTCAACCTTAGCCAAGAACTGTTGATAAATCAATGACTGGTCCAGTTTCTGTCCACGTGTGGCACTCAAATTCTTCAAATCGGACCAGGCCGCGTTCAAGTTGTTCAATCTTTGCTCGATTTCAGGAACTCCCAGATTCGAAACATCCATGAGCCTTTCTCCAGCTTCTTGCACATCCTGAATGGCAGGTTCGTGCGACGCCAATTCCGCTTCAAGACGCTTGTGCTTCTTCTTCAAATTTTGAACGCCAGTCAGATCTCGACCGTAGTCATCGGAGCTAACGAGAAGTTTCTTCTCTCTGTAGAAAGTAATTTTAATCAACATTAACATAGCGGCAAATGTATTAAAAATCAGTCAGCAATGATGCAGAGCTCAACAAAAAAAGAGAAATCCAAATTTTTCAGAACATAATCAAGAAGTGTTGAAAATAAAGAGATCGAACGAAAATTTTCATAACTGCACGAAAGAAACTGGGTTTCGAACAACAAAAACTACAGTGAACAGTCCTGGTTTAACTCATAAATGATGAAGCATACTTGATCCAGGATTCCTCATCCGCGATGTCGCGGAAGAATTGATGCAGCGTATTTGCTTCGGACAGGCGAGCGTTGCGATGAGCAGCCAGATTCTTGATTCGCTCATAACGTTCATTGATGGATTCTCGTTTCTCTTGAATAGGGCTCGCTTCAAACTGGCCGGATTCAATCAGGGAATCCGCTTGAGAATTCATGTCTCGGATCCTGTCTTCGTGGGCACCGATGTCGGCTTCCACGAGCTGATGTTTCTTGATCAGGTTTTGCACTGATGCCAAATCTTTGCCACTATCTTCGCTCGTCAACAAGCTCTCGACCTTAAATCGAATAATGAATAAAATGTATTGCCCAATCATCAAAAAGAACTCAAGTGATCACGAAAATGGAATAGCAACATCAAAGAAAGCCGTACATTAATCTTGCAACAGATAGGGCATCAATGGTAGCATAAGGATAGGTTCCAATTGAGTGCACCAATATTTTAAATAACACACATACCATCATTCGAAAATGATCCTAAATATTTAAAGCGTTAATGAGGCTTCTTTAGCTTTAAAATACTTACTTCGCCAAGCCAGAAATCCAGATCTTTCACGGCTGCAATATAGGTACGCTGCTTATTCGCTTCCTTCAACTTCATAGATTTTTCCGAGCTTTTCTTCGTCAAGAATTCCCATTGATCAGCAATCGATTGCAGTCGGCTCTATGAGAGTGAAAAAAAAAAAAAAAAAGCTGAAGATTTATAGGAAATGAATGGATTTCAACGGAACGCACTTGAACAGCTTCTTCGGAATCAGCGCATTGATGTTTATCGATTAGATTTTGTCCAGCAGCAAGAACGGTTTGGATTCTCTCAGCGTTAGCAGCCAATTCGGCTTCAAAGGCCTGATGTTTCTGGTGCTTGCTCTGAATGTTCGCCGGGTCTCTGTTGATATAACAAATACAAAAATTAATTAAACGGACATACTATCGTACTATGAAAATCAAGCAAAACGATGATACTTTCTCAGACCAAGATATCGCTCAAATAAACATGGAACATACCGGTAGCTCTCTTCAGACGCAAGCTGAAGTTTTTCAGTCATCCAGGCCTCAATTTCTTCCGCATCGCGACTGAATTGCTGCAAGCTTTGCGATTCACCCAGCTTAGATCGCTTGTCGATCAGAGCTTCCTTCAGTTTGTCCCATCTGTTCAGCACTTCCTCCTTCTTGTCATCTACATCACGAGCGGCGTAGTGATCATCGGCGATCAGTTGGTTAGCGAATGCCTGAAGGGGAAAAACGCTCTGAAAATAATGTTTCTTTGAAATACAGCAGTAAGGAACAGACCTGCAACGCGGCAATTTTTTCTTCCTGCGCGTTGATGGCCTTGTCGAAATCTTCATGCTTCTTGATGAGTGCTTCCACGTTATCTTCAACACCCTTCGAGCCATCGACTTCATCTTGAGACAAGAAAGTCTCTCGAGAAGTCATCCAGTTCTCAGCTTGTTCGCAATCGCGATAAAACAATTGAAGTTCCAAGCACTTGTCCAATTTCATACGTCGGGCGATCCAGGCTCTGAAAATAACCCACAAGTTTGTTTTGAATCTCTACGGACTCAATTTAAAAAGCTAACATACTTCTCAAGTTCCTGTCGGGCTTCATTCATAGCCTCCAACTTTTCCTGAACTTGGGCTGAGGCGTAGTGATTTGACTCCAGCAATTGCTGACCGAACATTTCGAATGCTTGGAAAGTTCCAGAGCGAGCTTCTATTTCAGTGCGATGTTCCTGTTACATCGAGAATTGATGGAAGCATGTCAAACCAAACAAATCCCGCATTCATGTCAAATAAAAATCACATGCGGATTAGAGAAAAAAAAAACAGGCACGGAGGAACGCTTCAAAAATATCTTGGAAATCCGCGAAGATTCCTCGCATAAAAATCTCAATGAACCTAATTTTAATGAACGATGCAGTTCCTTCTGATGCAATACAACTTCAGGACAGAATACAGTAATGTACGTAGATCTGCTCAAAAATCGATCGATGTGTCCAAACCGATTTTGAGGTCAGTGATGCTACACAAAATCGTATTAGGATCATATCAGAAGTCACACCGTTACGAAATTAGTACACTTTCAACTATAAATCTCCACGCAACTACTCTTGAAAATGCCGCATTCTTTCACAAGCCATTCCCATTACCTGTGAAACCCCATAACGCGCATCCAGCTCAGCTCTCAAGCTCTGGTAACGCGATATAATCCAAATTAATTCCAGTTGTCCATTAAAAATCTCACTTTAATTGAAAGAATATAGCGTTGGAAAGCAACTAACCTGGTGGCGCTCCAGCAACGCCTCGGCACCAGTGACATCATCGGCCAACTCTTCAGATGATACCAAAGCCATCATTGAATGTATCCAATTTGACAAATCACGGTAGTCCGACAGGAAACGGTGCAAGTCGTAAGAATCCAGAAGACGCTCTTTGCGCTTAATGGCTTTTTCCGTTATTTGGGTCCATTCCCGATTTATTTCTTCTCGCTTCTCGAAAATGGCTTCTTCAGCTTCAGGATGAGTACTTCCCAACCTACCGGCTCCTTCGTTCAATTGTTTCAGCTGACAAATGAATTTCCGAGTTGAAATTTTCGAAGAACTTTTACCAAGTGCAGTCTGATGATGAAAAAATTACCTTGTCTTCCAATGCAGCAAGGTCACGTTCGAGGCCTTCGTGTTTTCGTTGCAGTGCCTGCACTGAGCGCAAGTCCTTACCGTAGTCATCACTGTCCAAAGCTTCAACTTTCTCATTCATCCAGTCCTTCGTCTCATCAATGTCACGATGGAAACGTTGAACTTCATGAGCAGAACCGAGCTGCTGTGCACGCTGCTCAGTAACTTGTTGAAGTTTTCCCCACTTCTGGTTCAGATCCTTCAAATTTTCCAAAGACAGGTTATGGGCACTTATCGTCATTGAAAATATTATAATTAAGAACCTTGATCTGGGTCTGGATTTTCAGGGCAGCTTCCGTCTGACCAAGACTCATGAGCTGCAGAGCGAATTCGTTCATTTCGGCAAGTCGAACTTCATTTGCCTTAACATCAGCTTGGAAATCATCGAACTTCTTCTGCATGACCTCGACCTGCTCCAGGTCTTCACCGATATCTTCGAACTGCGCAAATTGTTCCTTGTCTTTGATCCATTGCCCCAGTTCCGAGGCTTCTCGCACAAGTGCGTAGGCTTTCACAGTTTCCTGTAAAATAATCACGCAAAATATTTGTTATAATTCCCGAAGAATTTTCATTTCTGATTTTGAATGCATCAGTTTCAGCCTGACTAGTACATACCTGCAAGCGTTTCTGACGTTCGTACGCTTTACGCATCAAATCTTCATATTGACCCTCAATCTGGTTTTGGCGTGCAGAGATGGAACTTTTCTCTGCAAGATTCTGCTGCGATGCGGTTAGAACAGCCTCAACTTTCTTGACGTAAGCGGCTGGGACAAATCCTTGTCGGTCGTTAACCTCGACTTTCCACCAATCCTACGATAAAAAATCAAGATGTGAGGCGCATATAAAAAACAGGAGAATGGAGACATACTTTATTATTCGAATTGAGAAGCGTGAGAACATCGCCTTTCTTCATGGAAACCTCACGAGGAGACTTTTCGGTGTAATCGTAAAGCGCCATGACACACTCCTTCCCGCTCAAGTCGACCATGGGTGTTTCTTGTTGCTGGAAAGATCACGGTAACTCAGTAAATCATCTCCATGAATTAATTTCATGTGTAGCATACCCTGCATGCTTTGGCCTGGTCGCCCAGCGCAGCGATGGTGGACCCAAAAGCATCCAAATCCGACATCAGAGCCTCATGCTTCTTGAGCAAAGCTTCGGCAGAATCCTCATCCTTGCCGTATTCCTGCTGGTCCACGACAGGCTCCTTCTCCTTCATCCACGAATCGGCTTCGTTGGCGTCCGCGTAGTATTGATGAGCATGCATCGAGTCGTCAAGATCTTGCTTTCTTTGCATAGCCTTGTCTTTTAGAGAGGTCCAGGCTTTCCGCAATCCATCAATGCGTCTCACGATTTCCTCAGCAGCGAAATGGCCATCTTCAACCTGTACATGGAAGTCAACGAAATATTAGTACAGTACAAGAAATTAGCCACTCGAAACTAAAAATAAATTTGACTCGGGTTGCAGTGACTTTTTGGTAATGTTTCGTGCCTAAAATCCAGAAAAATCACTACGATCATTTGTTTCTAGACCAAAGCCTATTTTTTCAAACTATCACACGGCGCAGAAAATCCGTTTGCGGACATTGAACTTCGGGTCCCCGCGACTTTTCTGCCTTCTCACTGATATTCGAGAAAATTTACATCAGGACACATTTTTCTCATAAGCTCCAACGCTTAGGAAATGCTCCATTAATCGCTCATCGTGAACCTAATAACAGAAGTTCGTATATTACCATCGTTTCCCCGCTAGCAGCAACATTGTCCACCCTAGGCTCGTGATTGTTGATTTCCGCCACCACCGCTTGATGCTTCTTGATCAAGTTTTGGACTCCAATTAAATCTCTTCCTCTGTTGGTTGAGGCAGCCAAAGGTTCTTTCTCACGAATCCATGACTCCTCGTCCTCGACATCTCGGAACAACTGTTGAACAACAAGCGATTGTCCCAATCTCTCCCGGCGATACTGCATCGGTGGATGTAACGCACTGTATCGTGCTTCTAACGCAGCAGCTTTGGCTGTCACAAGAAAACATTTCGCGGATTCATAATTGTCAGACTCATTTGAACAGCAAATCTTGCTGAGTACCTTTAATGTTTTCGGCATCGAAGTGACCACGAGTAACGAACTGTTCGCAAGCGATACGAACACCATCCATTCGATCTTGATGAGAGTAAACATCTGTCTCCAACAATTGCTGTTTCTTCAGCAGGTTCTGCACGCTCATCAAATCCTTGCCATAATCTTCGCTTCCGAGTTGAGCTTCAATTTCACTCAGCCAAATTTCAATATCTTCAACGCTTCGGTTGAACTGCTGCTGTTGGGATGCTTCTACCAGTTTTGAGCCCTTGCGCTCGGTTGAATCAACCAGCAATGTCCACAAGCCAAGGATTTCTTCCATGCGGGACGAAATGCGGTCCTCGGCATAATGACGGCTTTCCACCAATTCTTGCCCGGTGGATGTGATGTCTTCCAAACGTGATCTGACAGAACAATAAAAAACAAAAATATACAGTACAATTATTTTGAAAATTTTTGAATTGGTTTTTATAAATCATTCGGTTCTTACGCGCTCTTTCGGAGAGGTAGAAATTGAAGAATAACTAATACAACGTTGTGAAAAGGTTTTACAATCGAATTTAGGTTACACAAAGCAGGAATAATACTGTGAAATTCTGGTAAAAGTTTAGTAGCCAATTATATTCAGAAAAGATTTCAGCAGTACCTTCGTTCATAAGGAAATGCGAGCTATAGCTCTTTTATAAACCAAGATTTTTTTATCAAGTTCAGTCAAGGCGCAATACTGACTTGTTGGCATTGAGTTCCTGCTCGAAGTTTTGGTGTTTCTGAACCTTGCCATTCAAGTTGGTCGGGTCAAGATAGGAATCGTCTTGAGCAACCTTCAGTTTCTCATTGATCCACCCCTTGGTTTCGTCGCAATCTCGCTCAAATTGATGCAGTTTGAAAGAATCGTCAAGCATCACTCGTCGATTGCCAGATTTATCCAACAATCCACTACGCCTCTCCAACAGCTATGACAGAAGAGATTAGGAGACGAGGAAAACTAACAAATTCATAGCCAAGACTTACAGAAGCGCGGCGCTGAGCAACATCATCGGCAGCATAATGCTGGCTCTCGATCAGTTTGGAAGCAAACTCATCAAGAGCCTTTATTTTTTCCTCTTGGGCTGCCAGAGACTTCTCGAAATCTTCGTGCTTTTTGATAAGGGCCTCGACGCCATCTAGGGAGTCCCCAAGATCGTCGTTCGACAAGAAGGCTTCTTGTTTGGCCATCCATGTATCAGCTTGTTCGGTGTCGCGGTAGAACAACTGCAGATCCATGCACTGTTCGTACAGAATCCTTCGCTCCTCCCATAACGACAACAGTCCAGTCTTCTCATTGGCCAGGAGGATGAGTTTCTCCTTGACTTCTTCGCAAGCGAAGTGTTCTTTGTCGAGCAGTTGTTGTCCAGCTTCTGCCGTAGACCGAAAACTGTCTTCACGGGCATCGATTTCTCCCTGAAAATCCAGTAATTTACGGACTCAAAACTTAGTTATGTGAGTATGAAATTCGAGACAGTCACTTACGCGATGTTCCTGATGCCTCTCAAGCAACGCTTCTGCTCCTGCAACATCCTTGGCGAGCTCATCAGCAGAAATGATAGCCTTCATATCATTGATCCACGAGATAAGATCTCGGTAGTCCGCAAGAAAACGATGTAACAAGAAAGAGTCATCCAAGCACCGTTTGCGCTCCTCCGCTTTCTTTCGCAGATCGTCCCAAGTAGAAGAAATTTCTTCCAGCTTGCACTGTATTACTGGAGCTTGATCGAAATGAATCTTGCACAAACGTTCCGCTTCACGACCAAGAGCGGTGACTTTGTCCTCAAGAGCAGCCAGGTCTCTTTCGATTCCCTCGTGCTTGCGCTGCAGAGTCTGAACAGACGCCAAGTCTTTACCATAGTCATCGGACGATAGAACCACATCTTTCTCAGTGATCCAGGCAATCGTCTCATCAGCATCGCGATTGAACCGCTGAATCTCGTGTGCACCAAAAAGCTTCTCTTCACGAGCACGCGCAAGTTGCTTCAAGCGTTCCCAGGCTTCGTTCAATTCCTGAAAAACAATCGAAATGCCTTAATGCGATAATACGACGTCAATGAAGCACTCACATCTTTGCGACGAATAATAGTGTCGTGATCTGGATGACCTTCTCCAACCAATCGCGAGGCCAAAGAGTTAACCTCACTGATGCGGTATTCTTGAGATACCAAGTCCTTTTGGAATTCATCAAATTTCCGCTGAAGAACTTCAACGTGCTCAAAATCGTGGCCAAATTCGTCTGAACTGACGATTGCCTCCTGAAAATGTTAATCGATTAGTCTGATGCAGAGCCATTGAACATGATACAAAATCATACCTTATCCGTAATCCAGAACATAACTTCGTCGCACTGGCGGAGGAACTGCACAAGAACCAATGCTTGCTGCAATTTCAATCCCTTGTCAGCAAGTTTCGACAAAAGCAACTCCCATAGCTGCTTGAGCTCGTCTGTAGCAAAATTAAGCGAAAAAATAAAATAAATATTTAGCAGTCAATTAAACATCGACCTTTACCTAAATATAGCACATACCTAATTTTTGGCGTATGTCGGGAGAATTGAAGTGTCCAGATTGAATCATTTCAGATCCGTTGTTTTCCAAGGTAACAATGGCATTGCTGTGAGCGGCTACTTCAGCCTCGAATGCTTGATGCTTTTGAATCTTTGCCTTTGAGGTAAAACGAAATAGTGCTTTTATCAAGCAAAAACGAAGGCATAAAGTCATTTACTTGCAAGTTCGTTGTATCTTTATAACTCTCGTCAGAAGCCGCTTGGAGTTTTTCATAGATCCAAGACTCCAGTTCGTCAGCATCTCGTTTGAAGTACTGTAACACATTCACACGTTATTCGTCAAACGGTAGGTCCACAAATTTCTAATGGGAGAATACGCACCTGATACTTTCGTGAATCCTCCAACTTTTCGCGTTTGACTTTCGCATCTTGTTTGAACTGTGCGTAGCGCGTAAGCACTTGTTCACGCCGTTCTTGAATGTCTTCCGCAGTTTCGAGAATCCGAACTTCTCGATTCGGCTGTGAAACGGGATCCATGATACCCACAGACCCGTTTAAAGGCGTCGATTTCGAGTCAAGGAATAAATTTTTACTATCCACGGAATTCTGCCTGGAACGAAGGTGATTTCTCATCATCATATGCACGATTGAACCGTCGACATGAATGAACCAGGATAAAATATCACGGTAAAAATGAAACGTTTCTTCCATCAAGCGCGAATATTCAACGGAAGCGATCAAAACCACTTCTCACGGTTGGCTGCATGAGGATTCACTCATTGATCACAGGAATCAACGCTCACATTCACGACGAACAATTCGATTCAATACACGCGCTGGCCGTTCACCGACTCGATCTCCACGACGTGGGAGGCACCGAAATTTTCTTACGAACGATGCCTCAGAATCCGGCAAACCTCGCACTCTTTTCTCACCGAAAATAGAGACGACAGCAGACATTTTCACAGATAATAGCGCATGCGTCATCCAGAAAGGCACTCCCGTCTGGCCTCACCCTCCGACTTCCATCAACGCTCACCCGCTTTCCGCCGGAACACACGCAAGCCGACGCCGACATAGTTAAAAGGCACCTCACTCGCAACCCGGGGGTGCACTCTCTCCTCGATAACAGCGTAAGTCAGACACAGGGCTCGAGGTCAAACGGAACGCACATCCGGCGGTGGCACCTGAGGATAGCAAGAAGTACGGCAGCCATGCAATAAGCGGTGAACACGTGGACTCTCGGTAAGATAATACAGTACGCAGTTACGCACAGTACCTAAAATAATTCTCTATATATTGTATTTATACGTGTATATATATATACACAGTATACATATAAAGTATATGATAACGGTGAACGATGCGATCATTCATGAATAAGAAGAAATTCAAGTGGGAAACAATCGTTGAATGGAGATTTCCGCATAATGAGCAACGTATTTACAAATAAGTAACCGATTTCTCCCCACTAGGAAAAAGCTCCTGAGGCTTAGTTTTCAGCATTCCTGCACTCTCAAATATATTCTTTAACGCTATTCCGGTCACAGTACTGCATATGCATTTGAGTTACTGTATTAATCCATACAGGTTGACTCACTCACACACTCTCTCTCTTCGCTCTATAAAAACTGATGGATACTAATTTACTAAGTACATTTTGAGCAAAGGATATGAGATGATTCAAAATTTATCACAGGTCTTTTGATACAGAACAAAATTGTTTTACAACTACAGTACGAGGGTTCTAACAAAAGTTCTCAGAATGAAAATGAAGATGGCGTCTAATTGAGCTGGAAAAAAATTATTCTTTAGGGCAACCATATTCTTTGGCACAAAAAAAAAATCAGCCCAGTTTGACAATTTTTTTCAA